TTAGTCATTTCGAGAAGGTAATATGGAAATGTGATGTTAAGATGTTATGGAACTGTGTTGTTGTAAACTTGACTGAGTTGTGTAGGAAATATCAGGAGGGCAGTATTCGTCTGTTGTTTGTATCAACGTGAAGAATGGCAGTGTTAAGTTCACAGCGGCATCATCAATTTCGAAGGATTGTCAGATTAGAAAGGGTTTGTGTTTTATTAACATATTATCAAATTTGGTGTGTCAATCTTGTTTCTTTATTTATTGTATTATTTTGTCTGTTTATAGGCATTGCTGGAGTTAAATTTTGTGAGAGTTCAAGTGCAAGCACTGCATCTGCTACAGCTACAGCTGATGTAGAAGTTGATTTGACGAATGGTAGTAAATTGGTTGAAGCTAAAAATGTTATTAAGAATGGTGGTAGGAGATGTTCTGCATTAAATTGTCATGCTTCTAAATGTACATTGCATACATTTCCTGCTATAATTGTCAAAGGGAAAATACATGAGCAAAATTTGCAGAGGTAAAGCTCCTGGTTTATTTGTTCTTTTACTTACAATTGCCATGGAATGAAAGATTATTGTGTTTGGGGTGGTGTGTGTATTGTTGTTTGGAATGGCATAACCTATATTGGCTTTTCAGATGCAAAGAATGGATAAGGAGATCTGGAAATAAAGAATTGTTACTTATTTCATCATCAAAATTAAATGGCAAGAGGTATTTATGTTCTACCCATTTTGAGACTAGCCAATATTATCGTCCAGATAGAAAATGCTTATTACGTTCTGCCTTGCCTTCATTATTTGAAGAAAGACCTTTACCTGATGACATTATGGAGAAATTTCCTGTTTTGGAAGCACATGATCCATGTAAGTTCTTGTGTTGAATCTTTGTCTGTTCTTATAGGTTTGGATACTTTGATGAAGTGTTTGTTCTAATGTTGCAGTGGTTAATGAAGGAGTTGCGAGTGCAGTTGTTGAAATGGACATTATTTCTGAAACTGCAAATGATGTAGTTGTTGAAATGCAACCTAGCAATGAAACGGCAAATGACTTAGTTGTTGGTAATGTGTTAAATAGTAGTGTTACTGGGACTGGTACTGGAATTATTTGTTTGGGATTAAACGAAGAAAATGGTTTAGTATCCAGAAGTAGAACAATTTTAAGCAATGAAGATAACAATGCTAGTGTTGGTGAAGATAATGATGTTTTTACCAATGGAAATGATATAATCATGCAACCATGCAACAATGATAACTACAACGTTAATATTGTTGATGAATCTGAAATTAATGAATCAAGCATAAGCATAAACAATAATGTTATGAATGAGCCTAAAAAAAGGCGAACAACTTGCTGCTTCAAAGGGTGTTTGAATACAAGCAAAGATTATTCAATGTTTCATTTTCCTAACATAATTACTTCCTCATATGGTCAGCGTAGAGCAAATGATGCTAATTTGAGGAGGTAAGTGTTGCTGAACTTAAATTATTTGCAATTTGTTTTTGAAGCTGAGTCTTATTAGCTTGTTTTTACGTGTTGTTCCTCTAGGTTTCTCAAATGGTTGAAAGCATCTGGCAATGTTGTATTAACATTGTTAGATCCAATATCTGTTTACAAAAAGTATTTTGTATGCGCATCACATTTTGAAGATAATTGTTTCATTAATGCAAGGAAATTAAAGCACAATGCTGAACCATCATTGAATTTTCAACCTTTTATGTTACCAAACATCATTGATGATTATGAAAAGAATTTAAATGTTTGGAAAGGTATTGAGCATAGTATGTTGTTTTTTTTTTTTAAATTTGAAATGCATAAGTCATGTTTATGATCCTTTGTCTGTTTGTTCTTTAGATAACATTGAAGCTGAGATTGACTTTTCTTCTGATGCTTCTATTGCTTTAGCTTTTGATGAAAGTATAAAGGGCATGCATTGGAAGTTTTGTCCAAAATGTTTGGAGAAGCACTTAAGCACACGGGAAGAGTCTGTCCTTTGCCAACATTATTCTCACTGTTGGGAATATAGCGCAGAAAATAATATGGATCCATTGAATGTGCCAGAAGAATTGCAAAACCTAACTTACATAGAAGAGCAGTTGATAGCAAGGGTGCACCCTGTTATATCTGTATTTAAATTGAAAGGATTACAATATGGATATCGAGGCAATATTATCAACTTCTCACAAAATGTGAATGAAGTGGCAAGAAAACTTCCTCTTCGTGTTGAGGATTTGAATTGTGTCATGTCTGTTACTTATAAAAATGTCAATGGCAAACATCATGATTTTTATGTTCGCAGTGGTAAGATTAGGAAAGCACTTATTTGGCTGAAACAGAATAATGAATTTTACCACGATATAGAAATTTCAGAAGAAAATCTTGCAGCTTTACCAGAAGATGGGGATGTCTTAAATAAGATTCCATCTGTACAGATTGAAAGCAATATTGCTGATGTAAATGTAGAAGAAGGTGAATGTAATGATGATACTGAAAATGTAGACAATATTCAGAGGTCATGTGTGCCTGAAGTGCAAGTACCTCATCAAGATAAACAAATTGAAAATAAAATGGAATGGCCATCATTAGGTCACAAAATAGACGAGTTTTGTACACGAGGATATATGGTTTGTGCTTTTCCTACTTTGTATCCTTATGGGAAAGCAGATTTTTTAGATAATAGAAAGTTGGATGTTAAAGCGAATGCTTATTTTCGACATATGTTGTCATATCATGACAGGAGATTTGTTAAGCATCCAACATATCGTTTTTTTGCCTTTAACTCATGGTTACGCTGGACTGGGTTAAATGATGGTAATATATTTGTAAGGAATAATGAAGAATTTAAGGACATGACAATTCCAAAGTTAAAAGACATGTTGAAAGAGAACCCAAACCTTATTAAGAAGATAATGTTTCAAGCTTCGAATTTAAAAGGCACTAATGCATACTGGCATTCGAAAGGTGGTGAACTTAAAGACCTTGTTGGACAAATTGGCCTTCCTACAATATTTCTTACACTGAGTTGTGCTGATGGTCATTGGGAGGAGCTTTACAAGTTACTTGCTAATACAGAAGACATATCAAATCTGACTGAAAGGGACAGAAGAATACTATTGCAAGAAAATCCTGACATTGTTGATACCTTTTTTGACATGCGTGTACAATCTTTCATATCAAATGTAAGTAATTTGTAACATTATAATCTTAGTTTATTTTTTGTTTGTTGACTAATATGACATTTTTATAGGTGTTACAGAAAAAATATAAAATTAAAGATTATTGGTATAGAGTTGAATACCAGCACAGGTAAGATTTTTATTTTCAAGATAATGTTCTATAAAATTTTATTATTGTAAAATTCATGTTTCTAAGCTTTATATGGTGTTGTTTTTTTTTTGTCTTTTTAATGTATTGTTTGTAATTGTAGGGGATCACCACATATACATGGTGTGTTTTGGTTCGAGGGGGCTCCAGATGTAAGACAATTAGCAACTGCAAGTGAAGAGGAAAAAATGAAAGTGATTGATTATTTCTCAGAATTAGTAACAGCTGTTAATCCCAACATTAATGTTGATCAACCAGACATTCACCCTTGTAGAATCTCATATCAAAATGTGCAAAATGTACAAGAAGATTTAGCTCAATTGTTATTGAAGGTGCAAAGACATTCTAAGTGCTCTGAAGAATATTGCATAAGAGTTAACAAGAAAACTAAAATTAAGCAATGCCGCTTTAAATTTCCTCACACTATGCAGGGAATGGCAACATTAGAGACAGGAGATAATGGTGAAATAGAATATAAACCAATGAGAAATGATCCATTACTTAATAAATATAATGCTTTTATTATGCAATTATGGCGAGCGAACATTGATATTGCTCCTGTGATATCTGAAAAAGCCCTGTTGGCATATCTTGCTAAGTACATTTCAAAATGTGAAGTTACATCACAAGCTTTGAATGAAATTGTTGATAATATCTTTGCTGAATTGGATGAAGAGTTGCCTGCTAAAAAATTTATTCAAAAATTGTATATGAAATCCTGTGCTCAGCGAGATGTTTCTGCGCAGGAAGTATGTCACATTATGTTGGGTCATAAATTATGTTCTGCTGGGGGAAGGCAATTTGTGATTGTCAATACAAGTGATAAGAAATGGAAGAGATTACATGAAAGTGATATTGAAGGGGAAGTGGGGAAAGGTAAAAGCTTTCTTGATAAATACAGAGAAAGACCTGATAATTTAGAAGATCTTTCTCTTTGGAATGCTGCAAAATATTACAATTTACCAAAATGGGGTAAAATTAAGTTTGGAAAAGAACATATTGTGAGAGTTTTTCCAAGGTTGTCGAAATGTGATGCTGGTGATAATGAACCATATTATAGACAACAAGTGTTGCTACATTTGCCTTGGAGATATGAAGAGGATATAAAACAAGATGGTGAAGAATGGAAGGATGTTTATGAGCGATGTAATGTTCATGAGAATGTTAAGACCATGTATCTAATAGGCAATGAACATGAGGAGGATGAATTTGAATCGCCAGAAAGTGAATCTGAAAGTGAAGATGAAGAAGAATTTATGTTTTTATCAAGATTAGTACCTAATAGTGAGCAAAGGTGCAATGTTGATCTTGGAGGAAGGGAAGTTGATATGAAATATGATTGGACACAGTCTTTTCAAAAATATGCTCAGTATGGCACAGTTCAAGATTTACAGTCTTTTATTGATAAGCATAAACTGAATGAAAACAATGTGGAAAGTGCCAATTGTGATATACCTGATGTTCAATTCAGTTCTGATCAACAGAAAATAATAGATATTGTCAATGAACAAATCAAAGTGTTGGTGAAGGATCGAGCAGTTGTGTAAAGAGAATTATTATTCAAGGGAAAGCAGGTATAAATGTAGAAAGCAATGTAATGTGAGGTATGGTTTTCTGAATACTAATTGGCAATTTGGTTCTGTTTCAGGTACTGGAAAAAGTTTTCTTATTAAGTATATAACCTTGATGTTAAAGAAGAGATTAGGCCCTGATTCTTATTTAATAGGTGCCCCTACTGGTGTTGCAGCTGTTTTAATTAATGGTAAAACACTACATTCATTATTTAAATTGCCAAGGAATAGTTCAGATTTCAAAGAACTTAAAGGAGAAGCAGCCAGAGAGTTAGCAAACATGTTTGAAACTGTTAAATATCTGATTTTGGATGAATGGTCAATGTGTGGTTGTGCTACTTTATCTATGATTGATGAACGGTGTAAGCAAGCTACAGGAAATTATGAAGAAGATTTTGGTGGCTTGTATGTAATGTTATTGGGTGATGGAAAACAACTTCCACCTGTAAATGATGCATCATTATATTCGAAAATTCAAAATAATGACAGAGCTAGGAAAGGAAAACTTCTTATCAACAACTTTAAAGGAAGATTTACTTTATCAACTTCTCATCGCCAACAAGGAGACCATGAATTTTTGAAAATATTAGACAATGTTGGAGATGCTAATGTTTCTGATGAAGATTTCAAAACCTTAGCTAGTCGGTTTGATTACAAGATATCATCTGAAGAAAAACAAAGTTTTGAAGATGCTATAAGGCTGTTTTCCAAAAAGGCAGATGTGAGAGAATTTAACAAAAATAATGTGGCTGTGTTAACACTAGAAGCGCCGGGTTTTCGGATTACCGTAAAGCGCCGAGCGGGCCAATTTGACCCAAGGGCATTATCGTCGTACATGTCAACTCAAGAACCGTCATTTCGACTCAAAGGGAACCTTAAACGGATTTGTAGGCCCTTAGCAAGTCAAAGGATAAAATTTGGTGCACAGGGGTCACAGGGGGCGAGGTAGGCAACCCGCAAACCATGATTTGCTGTTCTCGGTGTTTTCTGCTGTGCCTCGTTGCCGAAACGTTTTTGATGATAATAGACGGCATAATTGTAGTCGCCTTGTGATAGAGATAGTGATTTTTAATCAAATTACTGCACCGTAGACCATTAAGACCGGGCCAAACCTTCAAAGCATAGTCGCAAGGCATGCCCAGAAACCAGGATTCATAGCAACGGAGAGCTCATAGTAAGGAGGATTGAGTGCACGATTGAGTGTGTGCTAAAAGGCTGGAATGTAAGCGACATGAGTAAACACCCTCGGGTACTCAATAAACTCGCTACGACCAGCAAATCGCGTAGTGGATACTAATTTGCGTCCGTTCGTCAACTAGCGTTCAGTGATCTGTCCCAACCAGTTTTGCTCCTGCTGTATCCCTGAGATGGCTTTCCGTGTCGTCCATCGTCCTGACCGGCTTGTTCAGACATCTAGGGAATGAATAGTTGCCGAACTAGTTAAAATGTACGGAGGCAAGTGAACGACATTGAAACACTACACGCGAGAGCAACAAAGTGGACCTCGGCATTTTATTTATCTCTTTACGAGTGAGTAAGTGATGGAGTCCTTTGTCCCAAGGATTCGGGCTGAGCGTGCTATAAGTGCCACTGAAGGTAGACTAGCGGCTCAGTGTTCGAGAGACACCCAAGGGCGTTAAGAAGTCAATCGGGTTACCCAAAATACCTAAGACATTGGCAGTTTACGTCAAAGGAAGCTGCACGATGTCTCCAGCCAGAAAATGTATTGCGGGTTGCCTACTTCGTTATAAACGCGGACTTAACGCATTCCTAATATGACGTAAGTTACCTTTAGTGGTGAAGAGTCAGTTCATAGCTCGTTACGTTGTGTAGAAACGCGAAAATGTGGTCAAAATGCCGTGTGGGTCATTTTGGCCCGCTTGGCGCTTTAAGGTGAAAGCCAATTTATCTCGGTCAAATATGGTCCGAGAACGTCCAGATTTCGAATTTAGACGCATTTCGTCATTCTAGGAAAAGTCAGAAATTAGGGGGCTGCCATTTTCATTTTAAAAAGTCGAAATTTCAGTTCAAAACTCAAAATGGGTCAAATTGGCCCGTTCGGCGCTTCTAGTGTTAAAAGATGAAACAGGTGCACCATGTCCAGTCTTAAAAATATCTGCTAAACACAATTGCTCTGCTGCAAAGAGAGCAACTTCAGACAAAGCTGAGGGTTTAGAAAGGTACCTTTATTTGGCAAAGAATTGTAAAATTATGTTACGTTCTAACCTATGGCTTGAAAAAGGATTGGTAAATGGGGCAATGGGAAGAATTCATGATGTAATTTTTGATCCTGCTTGCCCTGACATGCCAGCAGTTTTACTATGTGAATTTGAAAATTACACAGGACCCTCATTGATTCCAAATTTGAAGGTAGTTCCAATTAAACCTGTTTTAAAATCATGGTCAGACAAAGGACAGAACTGCACTAGGTTTCAATTTCCTGTGTGTTTAGCTTATGCAGTGTCAATTCACAAGTCCCAAGGAATGACATTAGATAAGGTATAAATTGTTTATTAGTGATTAAGTAATGAAAATATGTGTTTAAGTTGAAAGTTTATTTTATTTCAGTTTTTGTTTTGTTGCAGGCAGTTGTTAATATTGGACCAAGTGAATTTGCCTTTGGGTTATCATATGTGGCCTTTTCTCGTGTCAGAAAATTAAGTGACATGATGATTTATCCATTTTTATCTCAGCGATTAAAAAGTTTAAGTTTGATTCCTGCTCTTCAACATAGAAATGATTTTATGAATCTGTTTGTTTGAAGTTATTACGTTTTATAATATTAAAACTGTAAAAGATATTAATAAAATGACAGGTACTGTCTTGTATTTGATTTTTGGTTAGAATTATGTGATAGATTAAGTTATGTTTATAGTTGGTGATAGTTAAGTATTTTTTAATGCTGAATTGTTGCATTTTCAGAAAAGGTAACTGGTGAAATTAGTGCAGTTGTATGTTATTGAAGTGTACAAGGAAGCTTGAACAAATTTGGTAAGTGAAGGCAAAAATAAATTTACAGTTTTTTTTTCAATTTTTATTAATTTTCATTTTTTGTTTCAAAAGACAGTTCTACTGGTCCAGGGTCTCTAAATACCTTCTTCAAGATACAACTTATGATTCAATAAATTCAGTTGTTAATTACACGTTTATGTTTTTGTTTAATTGTTAAACAGTTTGCCTTTGTCCCAAACATATATTCTAATACATTAATATCACAATGTATTTCACAATTTAAATATAGAAACAAATTGAAGAACATAATGTTATGCACAAAAAATTTTGACTCATTAATATGTTAGGCTAACAAAAAAAAACGGTCTTTGCTAAGATTGTCTGACACTTAGATCGTTATGACTCAAAGATGGGAAAAGCTTATTTTCAAGTTATCTAGAGGTTACCTTTGACTGAACATAGTCCTTCTTTCCATCCTTCCCCACCTATCACCACCTATCACCACCAATGACAATTTCTTTACTTATTCAAACATATAAGGTCTTCAAACTTCCGTGTATGCTTTTAGTCATACAATAACATCACAATAATTGGCATGCTAGGAGCAATTTTCTATTTGGTTCTGCAAGGAAAAAAGCCATAAAAAGCAAATGATAGTAAAAATCAGCATAAAATTGTTGTTTACCTAAGGAGAACAGAATTGTCACGAAAAGATCATTGTCAAAGTGATTGATTCTTAGCATGATTTGAGCACATGTGACTTGAAATATGCTCACGTTAAATTTTTGTCACAATTCTGCTCTCCTTGGGACTCCTTTGGAACTTACTTACAAAACGCATGAGGATATCAATGTATATCTTCTTCTTAATTTTGCCGTAGAGGCAGAAATATTTGAATTGGAGTGATGAATTGAGATATTGAACATGATAGTCACTTAACTTATATGATGGAGGGAAAAACACATAATACATTTTAGTATTCAAAGTAAAGTATACCTTGATGTTATTATTTTCCTTGTCAATAAAATATATTCTATATTTCTGTCCTCTTGTTAGGTGTCGTAATGCCATGGGCATCGGTAAATACAAGTTGTTATCGTCCATATTGTGATCAATTATCAATTATTTTCCTACAGTCAAAAAGAGGAGAAATCAAAATATTTATTAGTGATTGGAAGTTTACAACAACTGATTTTGACAGGATTTTCATCAACTTACGAACCTTAGCTGAGGCAAGAACACTTGGCTGACGGCTAGAAAGTGTTTTGGTTCCTGTCAAAGTCAGCTGTTGTTAGCTGGCTTGAGTGACTTAGGCTGTGGCCAGAGTTTGATGAATGTGGAAGAAAGACGAGCTTTTTTTTTTAAAAAAAAAAATAAAGAAATGTAAAGAAATTAACTAAAAAATGTTATATAAATGAAAATAAAAAGCCGTGTTCATGCTTTTTTTTAGAAATATATGTAATTTGATTAGATGGTGGAGGTGGAAGAAATATTTGTGTTTGACCAGCATTGACCCGCACGAACATCAACAAGAAATTTCGCGCCTTTTCTTGCATAAAAAGAAGGGGCGAAATACAGCCGGTTCTATTTTATTGCATTTCAGCTTCCACGTTCACGTCAGAGTTACATCGTTCGTGTGTAAAGTAAGTGTAGCTGTACTGTTAGTTTCTTTCATTAGTTGATAAGGTTAGGGAACTTTGACGAAAGGAATTTATCTGACGAAAGGTAGGGGATCTGACGTGTCTTTGGGGTTAAATTGTCGCGTTATGTTATTTTTTAATAATTACGTTTGTACGTATCGTCTAGGGTAGGGCAGGGTAATCTGAATTCATTTGAAGTTTCTGTGGGTAGAACATGCTGGTTGATTGCAGGCTTAAATTCAATCTTAATAATCTAAGTTTTCAAGAGTTGTATAAGTGTGCTGAGTGTGGGTTTGACAGTAGCATGCCTGGGCGAATTGATGTGACTAGAATGCACGTTTCCACGTGTTGTATAGGTTAGCCGATTGCAGGTTTGACAGTAGCATATTATTGTCGAAACGGGGACGAATTTATATGAGAGTAGGTTGCACGTTTCCACGTGTCATGGAGGTTAGCTTTTGTGGGTTGACTGTAAGATATTAGGGAAAGCTGGTCCAATTGACTTGTGATTGAGTTAGTTTACGTGTTTGCCAAAGACTTCCACGAAGCAGCAGAAGGGGTTAAGACGAGTTAATTCAGTGACCTCTTATCAGTCAATCGAGTAAACATGAGCGAAAATTTGGTCCAAAAATAAGTGTGGTGAGACAAGTCTCATCCTCTTGCATCTATTTTTAGATGACATTTCTTACCTGTTGTCGGTCCTGCAAGGTTTACGCCTTGCAAAAGTGCATGGATTCAACTCGACTTATCCCCTTTTGCTGTCTAGACTTTGCATGATTTTTAGGATGTGTTATTTGTTTTTAACAGTTTAATTTTCTTTTCTTTTCAGATGAGTGATACTGAATTAGAATGCCTGGGAGAGGCAGAGTTGAAAGTTTCGTTTGGAGACTTTAAGCCTTTAGTGAAATACTCTTTAAAGAGTTTAACTAAAACTTCAAATACTTTTAATGGCAAAGTCATTGATGGTATGAAAGCTGTTGTCATTGATGATGATGATATTGAGTTTACAACGTATTTGCCAAAATCATTTAGTAATTTGTCCGATGCAATGGTTCAGAGGATTAATACAGCTGTAGAATTGAAGAAGCCATATTTTGTTGTGTTATATGGCAAAGTGAAGCTGGCCAATATGGCAAAGATTCATAAACATGGTGAAGGTAAGGTGTTTTCATTTAATGTAAATTATATTTAAATGTTGCTTCTTATTTAATCTAATGTTGTGGTTTTATTGTTGCAGAAATTGATATGGCTTATTACAGGAAAGTACAGAAGCTTGGTGAAATGTCTAATGGTACAACTTCAAGTGCTTCGAGTGGAAAACGAACCTTGAGTTCTGATGACGGACCCGATCCTAAAGTTAAGAAAGAATAGGTGAGTGTATAAGGTGCAAATAAAAACAGTTTTACTTTTTTTTTTATTTATTCAAATCTTGTTTGTTACAGTTGGGCTGGAAGCATGGTGCTGATGATCAATTAATATTTTGTAAGGGTTGTTTGGTTATAAGGGTTGTTTGGTTAATAAAAATTTATTATTGTTGAAATGTGTTGAAAATATGCTCTTATACACAATATTCCCTTATCAGTGCATTTAGAATTTTGTTCAAGTGAAGAATAAATCAATGTTCCATGGCATAGTACACTTCCCTGACAATGTATGAATACAATGTTAATTAAGTTGAATAACACAATTAAACATTACTTTAAATTAAATTGAATAAGTGTGACCTACACAAAATTGAATATTGCTTATTATGATAGTATAATCACTGAAGTACCTTTCTATTGTCTTTAAAGATTGGGATGTCTATTTGAACAGAACGGGAAGCGGAAGCTCGGCCTAGGAGTCCTTGACTCTTACTAGTTAACACTACTGTCCGAAGTTACCCCCGGTCATGGGGTAACTTGGGACACTCTTTCGAGACCGCTGGGAAACGATATAATCGAGGCAAATGAACCAGACAAGCATGAAATGATCAGGGCCGTAGCCGTCTCCTCCCGCCAGGGGGGGGGCAAATGTTTGTCTGCATTGAGGGTTGCCTACCTATCAGGGGGTCCCGCAGGTGCTTTTTCAATTTTTAACACACGATTGAATGTATTAAAAGGGTGGTAAATGCAAATTGTTTGCGAGCGAAGCGAGCTTAGAAAATTTGTGGTTCTAACGTGTGCGAGCGAAGGGAGCTGAGAAAATTTGCGGTGCTTAGGGCTTTATAGGTTGGAAAACGTAGTTTGTTTGCAATTTAAGCGAGCTCAGAAAATTTGCGATTCTAAGGGTTACTTGGTGGTAACGTGTGCGAGCGAAGCGAGCTGAGAAAATTTGCGGTTTTTAGGACTTTTTAGAGAGGTAAACGCGTAATTTTTTTGCGAGCAAACAGAGCTCGCGCGGAAAGAGAGAAAATTTGCGGTTCTTACGACTTACTAGGATGGTCAGTGTTTGTCTGCGAGCTGAGAAAATTTGCGGTTCTTAGGGATAGTTAGGTTGGCAAATGTAAATTGTTTGCGAGCGAAGCGAGCTGAGAAAATTTGCAGTTCTTTGGGTTATTTACACTTTTTTAAAAGGTATTCTCGTGCATTTCTGTGTCTACATTGCTTGCACCTGGCCACCACTTCCAGATTTCTTGCCCCCCCTTGCCCCCCCTGGCCAAAAGTTGGGGGGGGCATTGCCCCCCCCTGCCCCCCCCCCCCCCCCCCCCCCCCCCCCGGCAGCTACGGCCCTGGAAAAGATGAGGAAAGGGTCAAACTTTAATATAGTGAGGATCCATTGGTCTGGGTTGAGAATCTTGCCTCTGGCGTTCAAAAAACGTGAAAAAGTATCCCTAGTTACCCCACCGTCCAGGCAGGGACAACAGCTTCAAAACGTCAAAAAATAAACAAAGAGAACACCCAAAATCGATAAAAGTGGCATGTTGAGACCTTTGTGGGGTCAGGAACGGTCCCGATGGAGCTCTCGTGCGTCTTATCCCCACCGACTTCGGAAAGACGAAAGGAACCATCGTACAGATATCGGGTCGTCAAGCGTTTCAATTGGAGGCTTGACTGCAAAGAACGTTAATAAAACAGTAAAATGTAACAAAGAAAGGCCTATTCTGACCTCCTGCATCGGTTCCCGACATGCCCCCACGACTAAAATCAAAGATATTGGTCCTAAAAACACTCGTGCCAAACCGCATAGCTCTATCACAATTTGCAAGGTTGCTGCGAAACAAGGCGCTTATCAACCGTACTACTGCTGCGCTGTTTCCTACAATCCACGCCGGGCGTTAACTACTATGGCCTGCGGCGCTGACTTGTCTCCGGAAGGCTCCTTTGCCAGTCATCGGCACTCAAATGGACGTGATCGTGAGTCGACGACACAGCGTAAAGCATTCAATCGTAGTTGTATGCTTGGATCAAACCCACAACTACGCGTCACTTTTACCAGTGATTCGGCTTTCAGCACTGAGATTCCAAACGCTATGAGTAAGGGAGTATAGGGCGATTTGTAACAGATTTCGGAATTCTCTATACAAAATTAAGAACATTCTGCATATCGGTGTC